GTGTGTGTGTGTGTGTGTGTGTGTGTGTGTGTGTGTGTGTGTGTTGTGTCGTGCTGTTCACTCGTGTATTTTTCTAAGAGACATTTTTCCATTCTTTTCTTTTTTTTTGCTTTTCCTCTCCTGTTCTTCAAAGATGATGTGTCTCGTGGTGCTGATGCAAATTGGAAAAGCCTAACCAAGTTTGTTTATAAAAGTTTATTTTATTACACGCACAGTCACTGCTGGGACACACATGTTTGAAATTCCCTCCTTCCATTACTCTCATACCAGCCCTGTGTTTGCTGTTTGTGTGTGTGTGTGCGTGAGCCGGGACGCACGCCTTCACCCACATAAACTCCTCTCCTCTCTCTCTCTCTCTCTCCCCACCTCCAGGCATGCCGGTGGACGTTCACTCGGGCCCTTTCCGTCTCTGGCAGATCCAGAACGGCTCCAGTTTCCACGGCTGCATCCAGAACCTGTACATCAACAACGAGCTGCAGGACTTCACCAAGACCCAGATGAAGCCCGGCGTGGTACCGGGCTGCGAGCCCTGCAAGAAGCTCTACTGCGTTCACGGCATCTGCCAACCCGACGGGGCCCAGGGACCGGTGTGCCACTGCCAACCAGGCTGGAGCGGGCCGCACTGCGACCAGCCTGCTCTCAACCCCTGTCAGGGCAGCAAGTATGTCAGCAAATGGGTCAAACTCGAAATGCATCCACTTAAAGTGCCTGTGACATGCAGGGTTACTATAGTTAACTAAAACTCACTAAATAACGAAAACTGAAATTGAAAAAAATCATTTTAGTTAATTAAAAGAAATTAAAACTGTAATAAAATGAAAAAAGATAACTAAAACTATATAATCCTTTCATAAAACTAACTGCAATTATAGATAGAAAATTTTAGTGTTTGTCAATTAATTTTGAGCCTTGTGGGTCTTTTTATTTCCTTTTCAAATTGAGTAGTTTCACATTAGCTGTGGACAAAGAAAACCTGCATGAATCAAGCTCACACAAGATGGCTAACTATGACTATCTTGACACGCTAGCTTCTCTCAGTAGCTCTCGTAAAAAACAAGCAACAGGTAGCATCGGGTTAGAGACAACTATCGTCATTGTCCTAAAATAATTAGGGATGCACAGATATGAAAAATTTCAGCCGATATCGATATCTGATATAGGGTTGGGCATAATCGTATCGTGTGAAATTAATCATCAGAAGAACATTAATCAATTAAATTTTTGGCACTTGACGATTAATACGATTAATGCCACCTGGGGAGATTTCTCCAGTCAATCTGTTCGGTGCTCCTCTCCACTTCAAATATGACGAACATTAAAAAAAAAGGTTCTGTAATTTATTTATCTATCAACACAATTTAAAAATTTATGTATAGCCTGAAGTCTGTAATTTTGACACAACTTGGAACAGATTTTTATGAAGAGCAATCTTTCCTACCAAATTGGTCATGTGACTAAGACATAAGGGTGTCCAGGGACTCCAGGGCATTAATCGTCAAATTAATCGTTATCAGCTAAATACCCCAATTAATCGTGATTAATTTTTTTGCCAATATTGCCCAACCCTAATCCGATATTATTATTGGTGTTATGGCCGATAACTGACATTTACCGATATTACACAAACACTAAAATTATTCATATACGTATACGCACAAACACACTGGTGTCTTTTTTCGATACCTTAAATAAACGACCAGACGTCTGACATGGCTCTCTACTTCAGTTATTCCTGGCTGCGCAGCGTCAATACCGCTATCACGATCAAAYGGATACCACTTGACCAAACATTTCCCCTCCTAAAACAGAAACACAAACCTAAAAAATGGAAAATCAGTATCGGACGTTAAAATCGGCCCTGTTTTACATATCRGGCAGATACGATATTCTAAATAAAAAAGATCAATATCGGCCGATACTGATGTTAATGCCGATATATCGTGCATCCGTAAAAATAATTGCCCAAATCCTTTTTTTTTTTTTTTGGCAAAATTGAGTTACGCAATTATTTTAGGAAGGTGTCGCTATAATGGACACTTTAACTAGCAACCTAATACCTGCTGGTTAATTAATTCACAGGAACAGCACAAGCCTGAGGATGCATTGGCAAATATGTTTATTCAAACTGTAAAAAAAACTAATACTAGAACTAATACAAACTAAACTACACTAAAACTAAGCATTAAAGATGCARTAGTAACTAATAAAAACCAGCAAATCCACTGTAAAAACTAATTAAAACTAACTGAATTAAAAGAAAAAAGTCACAACAAAATAAAACTAAACTACAGTATATAACCTTGAGACTTAACCTTGGTAAGTACCTGTGAGGTTAATTTGAGGGTAAATGGTCAGGGTTAGAATATAAAATTACCAAGTAAGAAAATGAATGGAAGTCAATGGAAAGTCCCCACAAAGATAGAGAGACATGGTGTGTGTGTGTGTGTGTGTGTGTGTGTGTGTGTGTGTGTGTG